CCCAAAACCCCAAAACCCCAAAACCCCAAAACCCCAAAACCCCAAAACCCCTTAAAGGTTTCAGAGAATAGAAGTTTAAGTTTTTTAAGTACCACCATATTCTATTTAATCAACTCCCAATTCTCCATCAGTCAGAATCTAAACGTCTTGAAGAAGCTCTAAAGCTCTCTCCAAAATCCTCAGTCTGGCATTTAAATTCTAAAAAGTGGGCTTTTAGCCAATAAATTTTACAAGCAATTTCTATCATTTTATTTAGTCACTCTTCTTCTTATCTGACAGAATTATCAAGATTTTGACAATCTTAGTGAAGATCTTCACCATATCGATGAACAATTCTAAAGCATGGATGCAATAGTCGAAGTCTCCTAGACAGGCTTTCTCAACGATCAACTGGGTGTCATAGATCACATACAAACTGAAGACTACCAGTGTGATGACGTTGTATGCAAAGTAGCTGATCAAGCTGAGTCCGAAGATCCATGAGGATAGCATTGTCACAGCTAAGCCTAGCATAATTGAGCCACAGAATCCTCCAATGAACAACATGCTTCTTCTCCTAGTTTTCAAGCTGGCAAAAGTAAATGAACCGAAGATAACTCCAGTGTAGAGTAAGGCATTGATGATAATGGTTGGATCGATTTCAGTAGCTAAATCCATAAGTGGTCTGAGGCCAGCACCAGTGATGCAAGTTACTCCGAGGAAGCATAGGAACTTAGTTCCATGGTCTTGGTTTCCTTTTTTCGCAAACATGGTGAGTACCAAACCAATCGTTCCGATGATACTTAATAGCATGAACCAAAAGTTATCAACAACGAATGCTGGAGTCCACATGCAGGTAGCTGCTGCTCATAGACAGCCAATGGAAAGAGTTCCATACACCTGGTTGAGATGGTCCTTAGTTCTGGGGGTGAGTTCTGTAAACTCAAAGAGGTTTGAGAAATTATTGCTAGTAGCAGTACTCATCTTTACACGTATTTTTAATTATAAATTCTTATGAAAAATCTCTTATATAGCCAAAATTTTCAAAATTTTGATGAGAAAAAGGGGTTTTGGGGTTTTGGGGTTTTGGGGTTTTGGGG